ATCAATGGCGAGGTGATGACAGGCGACCTCAGGGTCGAGTCCGGGCATCTCTGCAGCGCTCCAGGCGAAGAGATCAGCATTCTCGCGCAGACATGCCTTGATTTTCCTCCTGGCCAAGTCGGGGAGGTCTTTGCCAATCTTCACTCCCTTGGTCGGGTCTGCTCCGAGGGGAACGAGTTCAAAATCGCCGTCCGGAATAGGTCGGAGTGGGATTTGCTCGCTGCTGGATGGCTCGTCTTGGTCGAAGCGGGCGTCTAGGGCTATGGAATCGACCTTTGGTGGAGCCTTCTGAACTTCTACCTCGGGGGATGCTCTGTCGGGCTCTTGCTTTGTCTTCTTGGTGGGTCTGGTCCCCACGTCGACGGTATCCCGTCCCTTGGAAGCGGCGTTGAAGCACCTGCGGGCAGCGGCGAGGTCTCCCTGGATGGTGGCTACCCTTGCCCTTTTGGTATAGAACTTCATTTTTAAATGGACAGTTGAGGGCACCGCTGTCAGCTCCGCCAATGTCGGCCTCCCCAAGATGCAATTGTATAGGGACGGGCAGTCAATGACGAGGAAGCGGACCTTGACCTGTCTTGTAGCCGTTCCTTCCCCGAACGTCACCAGTAGCTCGACATAACCCCAAGGTTTGGAAGTCGAGCCGTTGAAGCCTTGAAGATCTGAACCCACATACGGAGAGAGGTGTGAGTCGTCCAGTTGCAAGGTCCGGAACAGCTGGCTGTACATCACGTCGACGAAACTCCCTTCGTCGACCAGGATGCGATGCACGTCAAAATTGGCCATCTTTGCCCTTATCAGCAAGGGGATGACTGCGTTCGGGGCTCCGCCGGGGAGCTCTTCTAGGTAGAAGGTGATGGGCTCTGATCTGCCCTTCACCCTTTCGAACGTCACAGTTTGTGGAGGAGCTGCGTCGACCAGTTCGTCCAACTTCCTCTTGGCTGAATTGATGGTGAGGTCGTTGAACCCGCCCCCGTTGATGACCATGGTGGAGGGGAAGTATTCCCACCTACTGTGTGTCGTCAGGGGCTCCTGCAAGAGCTCGGGAATTTCGAAATCCTCGGGCCTGGTTACCGAGAAGGCGGTCTGGATTGGTACCGACTCGTCAGATGGTCGGGCATCTTCTTCGGGCTCCTTAGCTTCATGGGCGTCACGACGGGGAGCGTCGTTTCGCCTGTACTGTGCGAGCCTCCCTCCTTTGATGAGGGTTTCAATGGCGTCCTTGAGGTGGACGCAGTCCTCTGTCAAATGACCATGACTCCTATGGTATTGACAGTATTTATTTTTGTCTGCCCTTGGCTTGGCAGGAGCGGGCCGGGGACGCTTGACGCCACCGTCTTTGAAATCTGTGCTAGCACACTCCGCCAAAATACGCTCGCGGGAAGCCGTGAGCGGAGTGTACTCGGTGAAACGGCCCGAGGGGCCCCTTTGTTCCCGGACCTCCCGGGGTCGATCTTCCTTCCTTTTCTCCCCGGTACGTCGGGGAGGAGGGTCTTGTCGCGAGCTGCTGCCATGATTGGGAGCGCGAGCCCTGGAGTCTCGTGCCCTGTTGGCAGCTTCTCTCTCCTTGTAGTCCATGTATGCTCGGGCTTTGTCGAGGAGAGCGTCAAAAGTTGTAGGTGGCTCAATACCCACAGCTTTTTTGAATTCTGTGCCGGGGAGGAGGCCCCTCTCCAGCAAATATCTTTTCATATGGTCCGCGCAGGGGACCTGTATTGCTTCCCGGTTGAAGCGGTTGATGAATTCCCTCAAGGTTTCATCCTGTCTTTGGATGATGGCCTCGAGGGCTGCCTCGGTCTTCGGGTGGCGTCGAGAAGCTGTGAAGGAACTGATGAACTGGTTCTTCAGGTTCCGCCACGATGTAATTGAGCCCGGGGCGAGCCCTTTATACCAGTCCATGGCCGCCTTCCTGAGAGTTGTGGGGAAAAGGCGGCATTTGATGGCCCCCCCGACATTATGGTAGTGGAGCATGGCTTCGAACCCGTCAATGTGGTCGACCGGGTCCGCTACTCCATCATACTTCTTCAGATGCGGGGGTTTCTCCATCCCCGGGGGATAGGTGCATCCATGATGGCCTGCGACAGGGGACCGCGGGGGTCGTCCTCGTCGCTCCTCTCCGGAGAAAGAGAAGGGGTCCTGTAGTTATGTCTGGCACGATGGTCGTGCTGAGATTCCCTCGAGCGTGATGCTCGGTGGTTGAAGGTCACCCGCCCGTCTCCGGCGTGCCTCCTGTCGTGCCTTGAGGGGTCGCGACTGGGTTCTTCGGTAGGGATGACGGGCTGTCTCTCATATTGGGGCCGCCTCTGCTTTGGCCGGGGAGAGGGGCTCCTGGATTTCTCCCTATAGTGTCTCCGCGGGGGAGAAGGGTGTCGAACTTCTTCGACCCGAGGAGGTGGAGAAGGTGGCCTCTGGTGCCTCCTCGGGGGTCGTCGATCATTTTCTAGTGCCCTTAGTCTTTCTCCTTGGGCGAATATGAGATAATTTGTCTGGTTGATGGCCGCGAACAGTGCCTGAGTCGTGGCATCTGCCCCGGCAGGAACTGGGACTTCAAAGAACCGGGCAGCTCTGTGATGGGTGAGAGCTACCGGGTCGTCCTCGAGTGCTGGAGGGGTCGTTGAGGATGATGCAGTATTCCCGTCCCTGCGGGAGGAAGGTCCAGGGGCGGTTGTCACAGGGATGGCATTGTGGCCGGGATCACCGGGATTGTCGAGGTGTCCATTCTTGTCCGTGGGGCCGTTATTAGTGTCGGCGACACGGACGGGCTGCTCGTCGTGAGCTGGGTCAGCCATGACAGGTAGTTGAATTGAGCTTTGGTCCTTAGAATTGTTCGTTAGACGGGGAAGCTGTTCCCACAGACGGCGCCACTGATCTGACCTGATCAGAAATGGACCGTCACGGCTGGCTCCGAGCAGAAAGCTTTTTTGAACGAGGTGGGGGGGGGGGGGTACCTGCAAGGCACTCCGATGCTGAAGTAAGTAGGAGTACGAGCAGATAATAGTAAGTTGAGGTTAGAATGATGAATACCTGACCCTCTGGAAACAGAGGGTATTTATAGCCCCCAGCGCTGGGCCAAGGTCCCTTCATTGGGCCGGGCGGATTTGGCCCAATGGAGGAACTGCCAGGTTCTACGTGGGTAGTGGGGACCCGCACGTGGTCCCCTTCCTGGATGTGCTGCGTGAAGTGCGGGCGGACGAAGACGCGGTCTTTCCGGAGTATCGTTGGGGGAACGGTGGACTGAGTCTGCCCTAGTTGGGATGCTCGAGACAACGTCGAGCTGGACAGCAGGGTGTCGAGCTGGACGTCAGGAGGTGGAGCTGGACGGCAGGGTGTCGAGCTGGACGTCAGGAGGTGGGGCATGGATGTGACCCCTTTGCTCGGCGTGGTCCTCAGTAAGTCCCTTTGGATTGGGCCTTAGTAATGCTTTTGGGCCTGTCGGGCCCAGTCCAGAACAAGAATGAAACTGGAAGTGTGCCTGAATTTTCCATTGAGAATCACTGAAGGTTTGCGGGTATGTGATCTTTCAATTTGTAGAGTTTCTTATGACTCCTTGATTCTCCTCTGATAGAGATGAAGAAAGAATTTTTGATAAGTCATTTTTCATTGTCTACAAATGGGGACCATAATCCCTATAAATAACCTTATAGCTATTTCTTAGTTTTCAATATTTTAATTTACCCCCTCATCAAATTAGATATTGACTTATGGTATCTACACAATAACCTAGTCTTTCATAACATTTATGTTTTTAGCCACAAACTTATTATTAATTAAACTACTATAACTTTGACTAATTACATAATAACTCTAACATATATAATATTACATATCTGATCCAAAAATTCTATCACTAATATGCATTGTAGGGATGGACAAAGATTTTCTTAACCAATCCTAACCATCCTATCCAATTAACCTGCAGACAAATGGATTATCCGTGCGGGTTAGACGGGTTGCCAAAAATGGATACTAATGGTTAAACCCAGCGGTTTCGGATGACCGAAACAGATCCTTTACAACTCAATTTTAACTGACAGTACAGAAAAAGTTGTTTTATCATCATGTTATTGCAGAGGTAATGCAGTAGAATACTTTTAGACTATTTTAAAAGTAATTTATGTCCCTTCTTTTCATAAGTCCCATTTTTCCTCTTTTTTAACCTACATTAAAAATATAATTAAATATAATTCAAATAATTTATTACTCCTATTAAATTTTATTTTATTAAAAAATCACATTTTACTAACACTTTGCTTTTACGTTTTCTCTCACTCAGTCACCATCTCAGCCTCTCTTGTTCTTTTTCTTTATGTTTTCTCTCACTCACAGTCACCATCTCAACCTCTCTTGTTCTTTTTTCTATTCATTTCTTAATTTGAACATTCCATCTTCTTTCATAACCATTTCATTTGTTTCAATAAAAGATAATGTTCTATCTTACATGAATTATTTCTATTTCTTTCTCATAATAATGATTGTTGTTATCTTAACAGTTGTTCTATTTGAGGTTGTTTTTATATCATCTGAATTTTTTATCTCCAGTTCAAATTTAGACTGATTCCAACCCGTTTGAAACCACGCGGCTAAACCGAAACCCGATCAAACCATAATCCGACTTAACTGTAAAGCAAAACGGACGAAATTGGTTAGTGTTTTTCCAACTGTGGTTTTCTTCGGATGAACGATTTACGATCCGAAACCAGCCCTAACCGACCGCTATCCAGCCCTTTAGGTAAGAAAACAATTGTCTTTCGTTATATGTCTATTCAAAATTGTTTTCAAAAATTGTTTTCAAAAATAAATAGATTAAATGATCAATTAAGTGTATGTTACAGTGAATCCCTAAGAAACTTGTATGTCATTAATGAATTTCAGTATAGTAACACTTTACAAGCATGGCACAATTTTGTGCCAACTAGGTTGAACAAGTAGCATTTCTGTTAACATTCTGGATAGCCCAATATCAGAGAATCCTAGTAAAAAATGTAACTAAAATAAACATTGAACTAATCAATATTAATACATGGGCGAGGCAGTCTCCAATAATTCCAACAGTTGAAGTCCTCCTGCCACAAATAGAAATTGCAAACTAAATTTGTTAGTTTTTTGAAGTTCAAAAGTAGCCAATCGAATCTACATGCTGTTTTGTAGATGCTTTCTCACCTGTTCAAGCACAGACGTAGGTGGGAACATGTCATTGACGAGTGTGTGTAGTGATGTATAAGATTTTGAATCAACCCGATGACTTGTTGCCACCTCGCCCTATTGGTATTCATAAGCATTTAGTTAGTATCATATGAGAACTAAAGAAAATGCCAACTGTTAGAAATAACAATAATCCGAGATGGATGCGCGCACACCTTAGGGTTAATGATGAATATTTTGCCTTTCGGAATTCCTATCTTACTGTAACTAAGTTCATCTGTGTCTCTATTGCCAAACCCCGCATAGAATGGATTGTAATCAGAAGGAAAAAGTCTTTTGATATCCTGAAAAATGTTATTACCCGAAGAAGCACGATGTTAGTAAGAAAATGCCTTTTATAGAGCTTTCAAGTTGTAGATTAGTGATACAAAGATTTGTGTCTAGAAATTACCTCTAGACAAGCAATCTTGAACTCATGAGGAGCTCTTTTTATTACTTCCATATGTAAATAAGACAGAAGATTATACAAGTTAGATATGTGTATATATATAGATACAAAAATAAACGTTAATTGCTCTCACATTATAGTTCCTTACCTTCTCGGTAAAGAGAGGGAATTAATCCATCAGGTGAAATAACAACAGGTCCAGTTGGTAACGTTTTTCCATCCTGCATATATACAAACTTAAGGTATCAGCTAATGCAGTACTTTAACAATGATAACTGGGATGTCTCAAGATGCAAGGGGTTAAAAAGATGAAAAATAAGGGTAACAGAAAGCCAGATTTTGTTTTAATACCTGTTCCAGGTTAACCAGAAATTTCCTGGTTACATAAGCCTGGACAATAGCACGGGCACTCAAAAACAGTAGCTGGTATCCATTTTCCTAAAGCAATCATAATACAGTATTAGACATGAATATTCTTTAGATAAAATTCAATGAAACTATGTGTATCGTGATGATGACAACAAGCATGCTGGGCATCATTTCATATTAAACAGACTGAAGCAGTTATGCCGAGTGCTGATAATCACAAAATTTATTTGCATCTAAATTCAAAAGGAATAAAAGGTAAGCAAAAATACAGCATTAAATCAATTATTCATCAAGTGTGCAAAGAGAAACGAGAAAAAATGTGTCAACGTTGTAAAACCATATAAGAGGACTATGGATGTTGTTGATATCGTTTCAGTTTGTTAAGCGGCACACACTGGATGAGATAAGGCTGGTAAATGTGTATGTAAGTGGAAGCAGTCATCACCTTACAAGCCTGTTTTATAGGGATAAGGTTAGTCCCTCAACGACGATATAAGAGCCTATGCAGGTCCTATTGGGCCACCTATTATTAGGTCACCGCTATCGAAGAGCCTCACATTGGATCACATCCGAAAATGAGTTTATAAGTGGGGGAAGTCCTCAAGAGACGGCATAGACCAGTTTTGTAGGCTCACAGAGCAAAACCAGGCTTTAGGCTCACTCTATGCAATCTCAAACAAAATTAATGCGTCCATGTGTATTTTTCACTAGCACTTCTAGTCTATAATTCATCGCTTTCTTAAAAAAGAATACCCATTAAGTTAACAAAAGTTATTTGGTAAATTAACCTTCTTTTCTTGTCTTAAAACTGAAAATTCAAAACCCTAATTTGAAAAGCATGCGGACAGGTAAGTAAAGGGACATGCGGTATAAGGAGGTTGTGACATAAACATAATGAAATGGTGGAAACAACAGAGAAAATTTGAATGCATGACCAAGACACAAGATGCTTACTAATGAAAGACCCTTAGAATATCTTCTAACATTTACACTATCAAATGTTTGACATATACAATCCTGCTCCAGCTTAATAAAATCAATGTGAATGTACAAGTAAATGAATACCTTAATAGCAGAAAAAAGCGTCGCCACTCCAGTCTGGCTCCAATCTCTTCCAACTAAAGGCATGAACTGCCCCAAAACATCAGATCTGAAAGGAAGAAAATAGTAAAATACAAATATGTTCATTTTTAACTTGGGTGTATAATATTATGTACATGTAGGGAGTTGTAAGACACCATGATGAATCTAGTATAACTTGTGCTATAAGTGATTAATAATTTTTCCTTTTCATAAAAGAAAGGAATGTGTTTCATAGTCATTTTGAAATTGCAGTGCAAATCTGCCCTTCATTCCTACTGCAATTTTTTTTCTTTATTTTGTTCAATTCTCACTAAGATATGTATGTCTAGTCTATTAGAAAATGCAATTGGGTAGAACATATCTTGTTAAAATCCAACTATCTACATATGACGCAGAACCATAAATCGCCAGATTATTTACTAGTCAGTTAATCTTCACCAAAAATAGCCAAAAAAGATAATGAATATGACATTTCTTTTTATAATTTAGACAATGGATCACCAAGAACATGTTATCTGTTGTGCACAAAAACTAATGATAGATGTTTAGGTTCATCTCACTCTGACAATCTGAATGAAATTATTTTTAATGCACCATAAGATTACTCAAAGCCAAACCACCAGAACCTGCATTTCATTTTCCTATTTTTATTCATGAAGTGAAATATTTTGAAGAATCAACAATTAAAAATTTGCATGGTAAGTCCAAACTGGGGTTTCATCTTATAAAAGAAGGTCCAATTAAGTAGGAAGAATTGAACAGACATAAGGTAAAGAACATTAGCAACGGCAAAGCAGTATTTTTGTCGAGTTCAAAAGTATAGTTAATAGGCTAAGAAGTATTGTCAGTAGTCTTACTTGGTAATAGTTCCATCAACATCTGAAATTACAATTCTCGCATTCCACTTCCATAAATATAGATGAGCTTCAACCTGTTACGTAGTTAACAGTTCACTCCGAAATAAGCAAAATCGCCAACCGATGTTATAAACTGAAATGGAAACTTGGATTGTTAAAGAATGTCAAACCTGTTGTTTTCCTAGAACCCTCGTAGAGAAATTGAACGTTACCATATTTTGACCATCTTTGAGATTCAATGACTCTATCATCTCATTAGAGGGAACATTTGTCCTTACAAATTGCTTGGGAGGAAACTCGCGCCTAACAGAGGTTGGAGTTGGCTCAACAACAGAACCTAACATATCAGATACGGAATCTAAAAATATATCCTCACTTGATTCATCAGTACTATTGTGCTCAGCTGTCTTTACTTTTCGAAAAGCAAGAGGCCAGAGTCTCCACCTACGTCGAGACGAAGATGGTCCAGGATTATCATCGCTAGACTTCAACGCATAATCCTGTCCCACAGGAATTGTATCTTCAGGATCAAAAGGTAAGTCTAAATCAAAAGCTGCCATTCCAAGAACAAGAGGGGAGGCCTTTTCCCACGGTAGATAGCTCTCTCCGACCTTCACTACAAGATTTTTATTCTTAGTTATTGATGGTGCAGAGACTCTAAATTCCTCTGCAGATATTCGATGTGCTTCAAACACTTCAGCAGCTATGATAAAACCCATACCCGCCTTAAGTTCATGACCACAAAGTGAGATGTCAAATCCTGCAAAATTTATTAAGAAAAGTATATCAACAATTGGCTAAATCAAATAATAGCTGCAAGATAAAAAATAAAATAATTTAAAGCGTGATTCTTAGTCCTTACTTGAATCAAAATGACTTTGATCCCCGTCGGTGGAAGCAAATGTCTGAGGTGCTGTTACATTATCTTCCTCACTAGTATTTTCAAGTACATGGGGGGTTTGTTGACTATCACTCCACTCCACATCATTCGTACCAGAATGACTGCCAGATTCCATGTCAACTTCCACTGGTGCATCTTTATCAACCCTTTGAAGTTTTGTTTCTAAATTTGTAGAAATAATATCGTCTGAAGAAGTAGGCATGCCAAGGGGAGATAACCCTTCAATGTTTCTAGATTGTATGATGCTCTCTTTATCATTTTCATTAGATTCCTCAGCTGAATTTTGATCCACCAATGAGGACCCTTCATTTTGTAAATTGTCGTTTTCAGCCTGCTGAGCAAATTCATGAAAATCTAAACAACTTTTAAAGACATTCTCCATATTCATACATGATGCAGCTTCTTCAGTGTCGGTTTTCTCCTTGTGACAAATAGGTCCCTCCTCTCTTTGGCAATCTTCCAGATGGATCCCAGGAGTACTATTATCAAAATTGGAGCTATAAATACTGGATGGGACATCAGCTGTTGAAGCATCTAGCTGACTAACATCATCAGTAGTGCCAAATTCCTCTTCACCTTCGTCGAAATCAGTCTCTTCACCTGGCCCCAAATGAAACTGAAGAATATCTAACTCCAAATTTTCGTCAGTTGGCTCTGATTCAGAGATAGGGGCTGTCAACATATGACCATCAACACTAACCACGATCACCCCCGGATGAGAACTCTGCGAATCCACATAATTCTCTTCACATTCTGACAAATAAGCTGAACCTTCAATCACAGTTTGATCATCTAGAACTTCGTAAAATCTCTTATCAACATCCGATTCTGCCTTTTGAAGTTTTGGCAAATCCAAGGAATCATCATCACCCGTCACCCGAAGCACCCCCAAATCAGACACACTATGATCTAGTTTATGACCAGTAACATCAATTTTCAAACCACTCTCTTCCGGAGTAAACTCAGACTCAGCACCAACCACATTTGACTCAACATTATCATCACCATCCACCTCTTTAACAAAATAAGCCTCCCCAGAATTATCAAGATACATATGAAAACCCGCTTCAACCCCATTAACATTTATCTTAACAACCTTCTCAGCACCTTTAAGAACACCTTGAAATTTCCCAAACCGAACATACCACGGCGTACTCCTAAAACTACCATCTTCTTGCTGAACAACAATGACATCAACAGCACCACCAAAAGGGTGAAAAGGGGTGGCAACTGAATATACCCCCTTAGTTATCATACTTCCAAGTTTTCCTACCATATCCATTCTGTCAATTTTGGGAGGCCCAAAAAAACAATCTTGAATTTGAAAATATGATCCAAGATTATCAACAAATAAGAACTATACAGAAAATTATCTGAATTTCTTGGTTTCTTTACAGTGATTATGAAATCTTGCAACAAAAGCACTGCATTGAATTTAGATTAAGTCAAATTCAAGTCAAAGAAATTCAAAAAAATCTGAAAGAAAAAAAAAACGTGCATTCATATTCAATGTTGGAAATTACTACATGATGATAACAAAAGCAGTAGCAGGAAGAGGATTGAGACTTACAGATTGAGAAAACGAATCTTGCTGTTGAGGTTTCTTGCAGTTGAAGTGCTTTGAATGCTGTTTTATTTTGTTGCGGATTTTTCTACGCAAAATGGGTTGGGAATTGGATTGAAAAGACAAACTGAGGAGCTAGCATTGAATGTGTATATATGTATTTGTTGCTAACTGATTCCATAATTTCAACCCGACGAGGGTATTTTGGTCAATTTGGAATAATGATATTGGCCATGCTATGTACTACACCGGCCACCTTGTGGCTATCGTCTTCGAGTTTTTACTCCTTTATTGTAGTGGGGTTTTTTTGTTTTGTTTAAAGTGCTAAACTCTTATGTATTTAAGAGCGAAAGACTAGGTTTATTATTTATTTACAAAAGGCTAATTCCCTAGAGATACGAGGAGTACACACCTTGAAAGCTCCTAGAAAGCATATTTTTATAAGAATGGGTTTGTGCAAAAGTTTAGCAGAAAATGGATATAGTTTCCAAAAGAAAAAGTCTAAGATCACACGAGAATGGATAAATCAAAACATTTATGCCTCCCCCAAAGTCACTAAGAAAACACAAAGGAAGACATCCAATTGAAGAATGTGATCGAAGATATGACCAAAGGGGAAAGACATCCAAATTCACATGGGGAGAAAGGAAGTGGATAGAAAACATAAACTGCGGAAAAAATCACTCTTCTTAAGAGAAATGTTGTGGAAGAAAAATTGAGATTAAGCTATTAATTAACTTAATTAAGAAAAAACAAGAGTCGTCACTGGACTTTTCTTATTGTTTCCAAAGTGAAAAGGGAAAAGATCGAGAAAAAACTCACAAAAAGTTTTGAAAATCAAAACAAAAGAGAAATTTAAGTACAAAGATTAGTTATGCAAAGGGAATGTATTAGCACCTCTTACATCTATGGTAGTCCATAGGAGCCACTTGCATTTGTTTATGAAATGGGCTTTTGTTTGTTGATTGATTTTAGGTGAAAAAAGACATTTTGTTATATTCGAGTGGAAAACTCAACTTACTAACCACAAGTATGAGTAAATGAGCATTTGCATCATCTTGATATGGAGAATTTTATTTGGATTTACTCAACAAGTATGTCTCAACATTCAAGTGAAAAATATCAATCAATGTCACAACATACTGTAGAAGGATAGGAATTTGCATCACTTCAAGAATAGACTTATATCCTTTCTTTCAAAAAAAAAGGTCTGGTTTAAAAAGAAAAGTGCACTAAGGCACAAAAAGAAGTTTGATGAGGTTTGTATTTTTTATGAGTTTTGAAAGAGTTTGAATATGCTTAGGTTATTTAGTATTTATTAAGAAAAAGATTTTCTGGATCACCTGACAAAGTCAAGGTTTGTTTAAGAAAAGATGTGAAATTTGAAAACAATAAGTTTTGAAATAGGGAGAAGATTTTGAAAATTTAAGAAGGGGGGAGATAAGGAGACTATCCTAAAGCATAAAGTAAAGGATAGGAAATAAATGGTCTCATTGTAAGGTAGCCCAAGAGAAAACCTTTGTGTGTGCAAGTGAACTAACCATGAGAAGAGCAAGCATTTGACATTGGTCAAAACCAGCATTCCTTTCCCTTTAGATTTAAGCCACAAGTTGATCAAGCACAATGAGCAGATGAACATAACACAGTCTAGATGAGAGTCACAAGGTCTCAGAACATGGCCAAGTCTCAGATTAAAATAACTAGGTCCAGATGATTCTAAGTCTCAGGTACAACAATGTTTTAGATGAAATTAATGCCTCAGATGAAACAAAGTATCAGATGAACTTTAAGCTAGGGGAAAGTAATCATGGTCTCAAGTCCAAAGTCCAAAACTCCATATGCAAGGGATAGCGGCAATAGTCCTCAAGAGCACAACATAAATTTTTTAGGGTTTTGTATTTATTACTGTCTTAAGCCTTTGAAGGCAAACAAGCAAAATAAAACAAAAAGATAAAAAATGACATGAAATGATAAATGACTTGCATAAAAGTAAAGGGCAAGAAATTAAATTGCATAAAAGTAAAGGGCAAGAAATTAAATGACATTAATGCAAAAGTGTAGAAAAGTAAATTTAGCACAATAATATGGAGTTAATGTTAGTGTTAATAGTTAATAATTTGATTTGGAACAATTCAGCGCTATGTTAAGCAATCGTAATTGGACTTATATAAAAGTCACAACTATCTGAGGTCGGGCTATAGCAATGTAGGTGTAGTACATATTATATATATGATACAAAGTCATCCTCCAAAAACACTGTAACACCCTGATTAAAATAAAGCAAAAAGAAAGAAAGAAATAAGAAGAAGAAGAAGAAGAAGAAGAAGAAGAAGAAGAAGAAGAAGAAGAAGAAAGGTGATCAAGTACAAAGGCAAGAGAATTAGATCACTACTTCAGTTCATCTTCTTCATGATACACTGAGACAAACTTATCATAAATCCAAAGTACCAAAAATGATCATTTAATGGTAGATTTGAAATGAAGAAAGTTCATCAAGCATCAATCTAAAGTCCAATTGAACAAGATTAGCTTCAATTAACCACAATTAACCAATTCAACCAAAAGTCAGAAGTACCAGTCATCAAGAAGACTTAAAACAATATTTAAATGATTTTTAAATTGATGAAAGTTAATTAAAAAGAAAATAAAGATAAAATGATGAAAAATACTAAAAATAATTTTAAAAATCTGAAGAAAAAAAAACACATAAGGTATAAAATAATTTTAGAAAATTATAGGAAAATAATTAAAGTGAAAAATTATTTTGGAACTATTTTTTGTGATTTTTGAAAGAAAATGAAATAAAATAGAAATTAAAATAAAAAGAAATAAAAATACAACGGCTAGGGAAAGTGTGGCGCTATCTGATTGGTGGAGGATTTGAATTTCGCTCCCAAACATGCGCACACCTTCATCTTCAACCTTCGTCTAATTGATTTTGCAAGTCTTTGAACTAGCTGATTTAAGCTCAAACAGGGCATATTTTAGCTTCATCTAACATCAACGTTCATGTATCTTTACTTCAGAACAATTTATTTGTTATGAGCAAAGAGAATTTTGGAGAAAACAGAAAAATCATAACTACTTCAAAGTAAAATTAAATGACTAATATAAATGATCAATCACAGTTAGGTGAGGGTTTTTATCAGGAGAACAAGACGAAGCGTGGTAACTTGTTTGAGTGAAAAGGAACCTCGTAGCTACCTGTTTGAAGTAAGCTCAGAAGGTCCAAAAATGGTGAAATGAATTCGGTACTTAGAGGTGCTTTTGAACTTCTGTAATGCTTCAAACACCTACGAATAATGCCTGTGAAGGTTTTTGGGTGAAACTTTGAAGTTGAAACGAAGAGAAAATGAGAAACCAAACTTCTGGTTTTTAGAGGTATCAGGTTCTATGGAGGCGGAGTTTCTTTGGCTCTTGAAGCTTGCAAATGAAGGCAAAAGCTTCCTCTATTTATAGGGAATGAAATGAGGTCATGTACGTGTGAGATTCAGATCCCAAGTGAGATATTTTCTTATTTTTATTCGTTTAAAAATGAAGGATGAAATGTGTGGGTCAAGCATATAATCAAGTTGTTTTGCACTCAACCAAACGCGTTTTATGGTAACAACCAAGTTTTCACATGATTTGGGTGGTTCCAAGTGATATTTGACATGATTGCAAGATTATAGGTCACAGTGGGAAGCAGAGTCCATGGCACCATGTTCAAGCATAGGCCAAATGAAATTATCTCGTGCGTTTTCTGATTTTTCTCGAGCCAGATGATCCTTGCACGGAGGAGAATACAATGCAAAAAGAAACACTTAAAAAGTATGCTTGATGTGAAATTGGCATGAGTTGAAAGTTAGGTTTGTGGCACAGAAAAATAGGTTTGGCATTAGGTTAAACATGTCATAACCTAGTTTTGTGCACAAATGGCCTCTAACATTTGAGGGACTTAGAGCTTAAATTAATGTTTGACATCAGAATCAAAGTTGTAGAGAATATCAAAAGGGACATTTGGCTCAAAGAAGCGCCCAAAAATATTGAGAATTGAGAAAGTTATAGTGTTTGGACCAAATGTCATGTCATACTTGATTTTAGGTCAAACCACCATGTTCCAACTTGTCATTTTTTATATTTTATTGCATTCCAAAGCACAATGATGATCATATGAACTCCAAATTAAGTATCTTTAATACACCCTTGATTAATCTTAATGAGACCATGAGAAAAATAATGAAGAAGACATGGAAATAAACACATGACTCTATCTTGAGTTAACTTACAAACCAAGCATCAAACTTGAATTTCTTTTGATTAATTGGTATTTAATGAAGCTTGGCATGAATGTGTTCTAAGATTATAGGTCATACCTTGAATAATAAGCTGTGTTGACCACTTGTTGACTTTGATTTTGACTTAGGGAATCAAAACCCTAATTTAGAAACCTATCTTGATATTTTGATGCAAAGGCCCTACCTTGCAAATATAATAGTAGAAACCAAAGCCCAATGGCCCACCTCACACTTGTAACCCTAATTATAAAACAAATTAAATAAGGAACAAATAATGGTAAAAAAATTGAAAAAATAATATGCCAAGGGACAGGGTACGCCGCCTACAATTATTGTTGTCCCAAATTCAAAATCAAAAAAACATTAACACAAATCTATGTTTTTACTATTTCAATAGTTACATAAGAAACCACTCAAGTTTGGACATATGGTAACTAAGAAAGATATAAAAAATAAAATAATAAAACATAACAAAGGCATATGACGTGAGAGAAAGAGAAACAATATCATTTAGAATCAATTTTATTATCTTTCTCGCCCTCTTTTCTCTTAATACCTCTATCACTCTTTATACTTTGCTTTTATTTCTTGATACATAAAAAAATCCCCTCCCTAAAAAACCATACAAATCAAAAGCTTCTTAACACACAGTAACAATAAATTGCAGCAACATAATATGAAAGGAAATGGGAGAATCTTATGCGAAGAAAATCAAAGAGAGGGGTGTTGACTGTGATTCCAATGGTTGTATAGTGTTGTGCTTGGTGGAGTTTGGCAGTGACTTGTATGAGTTCAACTTACCTCTAGATTCGTTTTAAATTATGTCAAAAGTGAGAGAACCTAGCATTTGTGTTCATTGGATGGTATCTCCAAGTTTAGTGTGACATCTTGTGCATTTAAAAAACTTTGGAATCTTAGGAATCATCTTTAAAAAGTTTGAAAGTAGTATCATGCATTAAAAAGCATTTTCTGCACAAAATTGCATTGCATGTGCAGACACATACGTGTTTAAGTTTGGCACATGCAACTAAGTAATGAAGCATTTAGCTATTGTTCAGCTTTGGTCGACACATTCTCTCTTAAAGGTCGACACATACGACTCAAAATTAAAGTGTGTGCATTCTATGATGTTTCAGTAGACACGTGCTATTTTACAGGTCGACACATACGACTGGCTTTTTTCTATGTACCGGCACATCCGAGTTTTAGGCCGACACATGCTAATTATTTGAGTCATATTCTTTTAATTCCGTGTTTCCTAAAAAAAAATTGTCATACAACTTACACAACTATAAATACATCATTCATGCATCATTTCAACTGGATGAAACTATAAACACTTACTGCATTTGCTCTTCACCTTCAACCTCCAACCTATGCATACACACTGATAAATCACACATAATTATCTTTTATCGGGGTGCCATCTAGGTTAGGTATGATAACGTTCAATTAGGTTCTTGTGTAGTCGAGAATATTGATTTGAGATTTGTAGGGGGTTTCATCCAGAAAAATCGTGAGTTTATCCTCCAAGATCGTTGATTGATTTGGGGGTTTTCGTGCAAGACGTTCAAGAGAGGATTACAGCCTAGTGAAAGCCTTTGGAGATAAAGAATGCAAAGAAAGTAGTGCGAGAACGACATATCAAACTAAAGTCTTGTATGCAATAGGTACAATTGATCGTGTGCAGAAGCTTTGGAGATAAATAGCACAAAGGAGTAGCAATATTGACAAGTCAATTGGTAGCTATTGTGTCTTGGTCTTTCTTAAGATAAAAACAAGAGAAGGGGTTGAATCAACAACAAATGGTTAGAGTTTGTAGGGTTGTGTAGCGGTAGAAATATGCAAGACTAAGCCATTGGATTGACTAGACTTTATAAAAATCAAAATAAAAATCGCCACCGCGCTTTATTGTTTCCAAAGGAATGGGAAAAGAGCGAATAACCCAAAAGAGGGGGAAAGATTCAAGGTAAGGGGGTTGGTTATGCAAAGGGAAGGTATTAGCACCCTAAACATCCATGGTACTCCGCAGGAACCTCTTTGAAAAATCTGTATATTTTGGCTATAAAAATGTATTATATAAAAAATGGATGGTGGAGGTGAGAAAAGAAATATTTTTATGATTTTTGCACCCGCCGCGGTTGCGAACCTTTAGTGCCTACGTACCACCTTTCGTGCAATAGGGGATCAGGGTACACGTAGTTCATCTTTTAAAAAAGTTTGAAACACAAGTGTGTTGGTTGATTTTATGAGATAAGACATCATCGCAATTGTCCGTGTGAAAAAACATACTTACTACCCACAATCATGAGAAAGGAGAATTTGCATCATCTCAAAGTGGAGGGTATGGCTTGGATTTTAAAATCAACAATGCCTCACTCAACACCCAAGTGGAAAATATCTCACTTCACTACATATTGTAGAAGTATAGTTGCTTGCATCACTACAAGGATTGACAAGAGTCTAATCTTTTGAGAAAAAGTTTAAAGATAAAAGCCAAAGTGGCAAAATGGTTTGAAATGAGATTGATTGACTTTTAGTCTTCTCACAAAAAAAAGGTCAAGGTATTATTAAATTGATTGAAATTTATTTATGAAAATGTTTTGAAAATGCATGGACCTAAGTCCAAGTTTATTATGAAAATGTTTCATGTTTCAAAACAAGAAGAGTTTTTTTTTAAGGAGGGAGAAGAAGAGGTTATCCTAAAGCATAAGGTAAAAGCTAGGGAAGAGAACCGTCTAACCAACATGAAGCCGATACTTGACATTATAAGTCAATGTAGAATTCCCATTCTTTGGATAGAAACCAAGCAAGCAAAGATACAAGACCTCTTGAGAGAATCAAACTTCAAGTGTATTTAGTCTTCGCAAAAATTGGGCAGAGTAACGGCTGTATACAAGTGAATTCCAGATTACAAACAAAGATCGTAATCTCAATAACCTGCACACAAAACAAACAAACAACCCAATGTCTTGAGGTAAACCTCAAGAACTCCAGACAAAATATCAAATAAAGTCACAAAGCCTCCAAGATAGGCCAAGGTCTCTAATCCTAAGTCAAAGAAGTCCATCACTCCATAATGCAAAGGATAGTAACCATGTAGTCCAAGTATCATTAATGATTTTTATGGTTCATGTTGATTATTAAGTGTTTTTAAAAGGAAAAGAAAAGCTCAAGTGAGCAAAATAAAAATGACATAAAAGTAAATGCTCAAGTGAGCAAAATAAAAATGACATAAAAGTAAATGCTCAAGTGAGCAAAGATGAAAATAGCATGAAATGTAAATGGTACATAAAGTAAATGGTACATAAAGCATAAAAAATAAAAGGCATAAAGTAAAGTTAATTGTTAGTAATTAGTGGTTAGTAATTAGTGGTTAGTTGGATGACCATCTTGAAACTTGCATTTGGAACTCATCAGAGGATTGGTAAAACCAAAGCCTCTACACAACAAGTTGCATTTGCTTTTTGTCAAGTATATCATCCATTTTGGAATTCTCATAAGGCAACATGTAATGATCAACGATGTTTAAGTGATCCGCGTTGACCAAAGGTGTTGTAGATCCATCAGAAGATTGGTAGAACCAAAGCCTCTACACGATGAATCTCAAGGTTATTGGATCAAAGAGATCAAATTAACATACTTGGGCTTGCAATCATAAGTTTGGGCCACGAATGATCATTTATTCGAATCGGGACAAAATTTAGCGCTATGTTAAGCAATCGTAAGTGGACTTATGTAGAAGTCGCACCTATTTTGAGGTCGGTCAATAGCAATCTATGTACTTCATGTTTGGATAAATGATATAGAGATCACCATCCCTTAACATGTAGCACAATTAAAAAAAGAAAGGGATAAGATGAAGAGGGAGGGAAATGATAAGCTAATTTGGATCACCATTTCAAAATTCTTTCATCTTTAAATTCAACCACTCCTCTAGATGGATTAAAGCACTAAACATATCATTAATCCAAAGCACCAAAAATAAATTAAATAATTCACTCTTAGGTAGATTTGAATTGATGAAAATTTATCCAACTTCATCTACATCACAAAGTCCATTGAGTTTAAAGACAAATTGGACATTTAAAATTGCAATCCAAACCAACAATCAAGAGGAGTGAGTAGAAAAAACATTTTGGATCAAAGCTGCCCCAAAACAAGGCAAAAAACACATTTTGTTCTGGTGTAAATCGATTTACACTACTATGTAAATCGATTTACATAGTATTATTTTCAAAAATTTATGCAAAATTGTGCTGTGTAAATCGATTTACACATAGTGCAAATCGATTGCACACAGAACAGCAGCCAAAAACAGCATTTTAAAAGGCCAATTTCTTGTTCAAACTTTCCATCAAACACCTTATGATCATGGATCCAATTGAGCACGAAAAATCCATCAAATTATGAGAAAATAACACCATTGGAATCATAAAAGAATGCTCAATGAATCAATCCCAAAGATCACCAAGAGATCACATTGTGAAAGATGAATTATCCAAACTTACCAAAGGTAGATCTAGAGAATTATCAAAACAACTTCAATAATTTGCTTCAATTCAACCACAAGAATGAATTGATCAAGCTTGGATGTAGAGAATTGATGGAGAAAAAGTGTTTGGATGAAGGTTTAGCTCAAAGATTAGTAAGCTTCAATGCAAAGCTTACTAACTTTTTGAAAATGGATCTTTGAGTGAATTTGGTAGAAGGAGAGAATTGAGAGATTTTTTAGCAAGGTGGATTTGGCTATCAAAAGCTTGAAATTTGAATGAGATGAGGGCTCTATTTATAGATTTTTGAATTGGGATTAGTGGTAATTTGGTAATTGATTCTTGGAGCCAAAATTTGAATTAATGATAATTATTTCAAATATTAGAGCCAAAATTTGAATTAATGATAATTCTTCTTAAAAATGAAAGATTGGCACTAAAATTTGAATTAATTATACATCTTTCAAAAAATGAAGGAAAATTGGAGCCAAAAAAATGACAAGTTTAAAATGCTGATTTTTTTTCAAATTCGCTTTATGCAAATCGATTGCACTATATTGCAAATCGATTTGCACAATGTATTTTTCCAAAAATTGTGCAAAATTCACTTTGTGCAATCGATTGCACTCTAGGAGCAATCGATTGTACAGTGAAAAAAAATGAAATTTTTTTTAATTCTTTTTCTTTGCAAATAAGGATTTTAGGAAAATAATACCAGAAACCCTTATTTGTCAGATGCTTCGACTTGGTACCTACAAAACAAAAATATACAAAGACAAAGACAAATATTTTTTTGTATTTTGATTAGAAGTTAGTCAACAACACATATACAAAATACACAACCAAGGTGCTTGGAGATTCCTCAAGAGAAAACTTAAAGATAGGAAAAAGAGAAAGAACCAACCCTAATGTGATCTTGTTATGATCAAGTTGACATGATATGATAGGGGAATCTTAGGGGCAAAAATTGGGGTACAACAGCTGCCCTTATTTAAGTGTCTTCTATCCGGAGATACGAATGTTACAAATCTTCGTGTCGACGCGATTGAAGATACTTAAATATAAAACAAGCCCTATTTTTGTCTCTAAGATGCCATGCAATGCTTATGATTATGGATGCATATGAACAGAACAAAAGAGACGCAAAGTAACACTGGGGATGCCACAAAAATGAAGAAACAAAGGAGCAACTCCACCAGGAAAATAAATCACTGGTGGACCAAAAGAATAGAACCAGAGAGGAGGATAATAAGCATCGACATTCACTGACGATGTACTACCAACGTTCACTGAAGGTAGAAAGAAATTATAATATCACCGCCGTTCACTGACGATGAACTATCAACGTTCACTGAAGATAGCAAAAAGATAACAAACACCAACGTTCACTGCCGATGTACTACCAACATTCACTGAAGGTAGAGAGAAAATATCATATCACCGTCGTTCACTGACGATGAACTATCAACGTTCACTGAAGATAGCAAAAAGATAACAAACACCAACGTTCACTGCCGATGTACTACCAACGTTCACTGAAGGTAGAGAGAAAATATCATATCACCGCCGTTCACTGACGATGAACTATCGACATTCACTGAAGATAGCAAAAAGATAACAAACACCAACGTTCACTGCCGATGTACTACCAACGTTCACTGAAGGTAGAGAGAAAATATCATATCACCGCCGTTTACTGACGAGGAACTATCAACGTTCACTGAAGATAGCAAAAAGATAACAAACACCAACGTTCACTGCCGATGTACTACTAACATTCACTGAAGGTAGAGAGAAAATATCATATCACCGCCGTTCACTGACGATGAACTATCGACGTTCACTGAAGATAGCAAAAAGATAACAAACACCAACGTTCATTGCCGATG